TTACTCTTCCAGGAGAAGCAGCCTCTAGCCTGGGCTTTTTTTTAGCCTGAGGCAATTTGAGCCTGTATCTGCGACGGTGGTGGTTGCTAACAGGGAGGCTGCAGGGTCATCCAGTCCTTGGAGTGTGTACCCACGATTGCATTTGTGGGGCCAGGGGACATCAGTAAGAACAAGCCAATGAATAGAGTACCAAGCTGTAAGAGCAGAAATATGCTAAAGCCAAGGAGCACTCCAGCCTAGATATCCAGCTTCTTGTGCAGTGGGGTCCCTCATAAAAGGCTCCTCTGCTGCTGTGGCTGGCACACAACTTCGTGATCGAGGGACAGGGATGTTGGTATGGCATGATCTCCAACAGTGCTGTTCCTTCCTAGGGGTGGAGAAGGGAGTAGGACTACTTCATATCTGAGGTATGCAGGCTAATAGAAGAAACGTTACTCACCCCGTTTCTCTGTTAGATCACTACTGTATTTTTCAAAAGGTTTCTTCTTGTTCCAGTGATGAGTCAGTCCATGTTTTTGCTCAGTAATACCAGTGCCGATTTGGGGACAGGAAGTTTTTGTTTGTGGACTGATCTGAAGGTGTTGCTTCCTTTCGCCCCTGAGTTCCCTGGTGAGGAAAGGAAGCAAACCGGGCTGCTCTTCCCTGCAGTGCTGCCCAGGGAAGGTGTTGCTAGCCCTTCACAGGTATGTGCACGCCTGCTCCTTCTGACCCCATCCAATAACTATTTACAGGAGTCAGGAAAACTGAAGTGTCTAGAGGCAAGACTAGCTAGCATAAGGATGCTACCCTTTCATTCCTGCATATCTGCTGCAATGTGCTGTCCTCTCTGCTATACCAGTAGGAATTCAAAATAAATTTTAAGTGAGCTTGTTTACTAATTTGGTTCATAGCATATCACCACAACTGGCCTGCAGGCTACACCTGAAGGGGCACCGTGCTACTGTATGTGGACAGTACAGCACCCAGGAGATGTAGTGAGAAGCTGAAACGTACTTAAATCCTCTCTGTCACAGACCCTTTTGTACTTTGAATCCGCCCATGCCAGTTCTCAATAGCTTGCAGGTTTTGCCTGGACGCTTATATCTACTTGACTCTATCTTTTAAAACTGAAGCATGAGTTGGGAAATTCAGGCTTTTTAATTTTTTTTTCTGGTGCCTAAAATATACAGGGAAGCTAGTACTGTAAGATGCAGCTTCAAACACAAGGAAAATGTGTTTATGGTTCCTTGGTATTTGGCTTGCCAACCACTGGATGTCAGTGCTGCTCCACTGAAGAAAGGCCCTTGCCTGTGGATGTGAAAGAAATGAGAGTGGAGGCTCCTGATTTTTGTCGCTCAAATACTTGAGCAACATTCGCGTTTCTTGGAAAAAATTGCCACGGAGATTAAAGTACTTGTTAGTTGAACGTATCTAAAACTACCGTGTTTCAAATCCTTAATTCTCAAGGCAAGATGAGAGACAAGATTGTGCATAGGAATTACGGCAGTCTCTTGAGTTTATGGGCTTGATGAGTCAGTCTGTGGAGTGTCCAATAAGTGAAATAAAGCTTCTGGAGAAACCGAAAAGTATGTTCTTACTAGACGTATAAATGTAGGGGTTTTACGGTTTGCAAATGGCACATTTAGCAGCACATGATTTTTCAAATTTAAAAAGTAAAAACATGCTGACAGATTTGAGGAGATTAAGTTGGTTGTGTAGTAAAAAGCCTGTCTAGACCTCTGGTTTTATGTTTTAAAAATATATTAAATACAGATTAAAAAATGCCTATAAATTGCTTGCAGATGTATTCAATTCAGGCTTTTGTAATAGATTTGGCTTTTTAAAATTATGTGAAGTTACTTGCTGTCTTTCATTCTTATGCTCTTCACCATTTTGTTCCTAAATATGACTTACCTACACTGCAGGAGGTGGGAGAAATAAGCAACCGAAAGATTTGAGGGTTTTTTTTGCAGTGTGTGCTTTGTTTGTGTTGTTGAAGGCAGTCTGAAATGTTGCAGCCGTCTATTTAATTAGAGAGCAAAAAACTTTCCTAGCTAAACTGCTGAAGGTGCAGGTCAGCAGCACAGTGCAGCCTGCATCAGATACTGCCATCTTTGAGGCAAAAGATGCTATTAATTTCCACTACCTTTTACGTAGTGAAGGTAGTGGAAGCTCTTGAATGGCATTCAGCTGGCATGCTGACTTTGAATGTGTAACACCCCATTTTCCTCCTTCTTAACGTAACTGTATCACTAAAATTAATTCAGGTGAATTATGTGTAAAGCAACACGGTTCTGTTATTAATCTGTAATTAAACACATGATGGAAAAACCTTTCTTTTACAGAGCCGACTTAATGCACCTAGGTAGCGTGTCAGCTTTATCTCTGCAAATGGTGAAAAATAGGTTGTTGACAGCTTAAATGCTTGTGCTACAAATGGAAGTATTGCGATCTGTAACCTGAAATCTTTTGAGGGGTCTGTGGAAGGCATGTATCAGTGGCTTGAACTGTGCATTTTAAAACCGTCAGTCTAGCACTTGTATATTGGTAGCTTAAAAATATTATTAGCTGCGGCTACTTCAGGCATAAAACCAAATTAAGCTGGAGGATTTTAGTCAGTAAACAGACTTGTAGAGATTGTGCTGTTTCAGAGGCATGGCTGACTAAGAGAAGAAATGCCTTATTAGATCGAACCCTGTTATAGACTGTTTTGATTCTGTGATTTTCTTTTCCCACAAGACCAAAATTAATAGTATATTTCTACCAATTTCTTTTTTTTCTGGTCAGTAAGAAGGAAATATTGATGCTGTTTCCTGACAAGTGAAACACATCCTTCTTCACCAAATAAATGCTCTTTAAATACCTATAGATACGTTTTGTGAGTTCTTTCCATGTTTAAATTAATTTAGTTTCAGAAACTGTTGAGTTCTGATGATTATGTTAATTTCTTTTCAACCACAGGAATGTGTGTGTGCGTTTAAGCTTTTTTATTATATATGGAGAAATGTAACTATGGAAGTTTGTGCATCTGTAAGTTTGAAAGTTTCTGTTTGTCAAGAATAATCTCTTAATACATGATAGTTGTCTTTGGAAAGTCACGTTCTCTCTAGTAGAGACTTAACTTGCTGAAAGAAGAAAAAAGGAAGTCTTACCCATTGAAATCAAAAGTGCTATGTCTCTGGGTTTGGTGATAGGAATTGTATTATTAGTTGGAGAAGGGGCTAGTGATCAGGTAGGTAAATTTCCAAGTAAGGAAACACCAGGACTAGTTGTAATTAGGGAGACTGAACAGATGCATTTAGGAATGCAGCTGGAGAAATGGAAATTAAATTGCAAGTGAAATCCATTGTTAATCAATGTGATTAATAAAAACTGGAAAGAGGGGACTGAATTACTCATACTGCTTGTTTCTAAATCATCTGTAATCCTTCAGTAAAAAATATCTCAGTACAAGTCCACAGTGAAATTGAAATGCAACATGTTTTAAATGAATACAGAAGTGCTTTTCATGGCATGCCAAGCTGGAACCCACCAATACCGATGCTTAAATTGAAAAAAATTAATAGGAGTGAACAGGGCAGTAGTTACATTTCCTATGTAGCTTTTTCTGATGCTGGTTAGTCTTGCAAAATCAGTTGATGCAGTTGTGATCTGTCGTGGTGCCTACTAGAAGGATGTGTATTATAGCTAGATACATTGCTTGATTGAACCTGTTACTTCAATGTCCATTCAATGTATTTGTAGTGTTAGCAACTGTTTATTTTGATCAAAAATTGTGTTCTTCATTATTGTGATAGCATTTATTGTCAAATTTTATATAGGCATTACATTTTCAAATGATCTATAAATTCTTGGTCCTTTTCTAAAATTTGGCAGCCCTTCAGTGTTCAAGTTCTCACTTCATTCCTTTGAGTTTTCTGCAGTATTTTTGTGTGGTTTCTCACCTCTTTCATGTTTTTTCCCCCTCTTCTCCTTTCTTTCAAGGAAGGAACCCATTGAAATCGGGCCAGGTTTGAAACTTGTCCTTGGCAGTCTGGTTTTTTTTAATTTTACTTGTTAAAAAAATATATATACAATTGCACAAATTTGGCCAGGGCTGTTACCTTCTTACATCTGGTGGAAACACATGACTATGTTTTAAGTGGGGGAATAGAGAGTTGGATGTATTTGGTAGGGTTGGGTTTTTCAGCTGCATTTGTTACACCTGAAAGTTTAACCATGAATAATAAATAGTAAAGATCACGTCTTGTCTGCCATGGGATTACATGAGCAACTATGCTTTTCTGACAGTTTTTGCACATGGAGATAGTTTTATGGAGAGCAGCTGACATGAGCATTTCCTGTGCTGCTGCAGTACTTCTAGCAAGTTTACTTACTATGTTTAAATCAGTTTTATTGTGAAAGGGCAGAAAATGATGAGTTTTGCCTTGCCACAACAACGTTTGCTCATTATGCAGATTCTGCATGTGGACTGTATAAAACTCACAGAAACACTCTATAGACTGTCCTTCTACTGGCTAAATCTGATTTAAAGAGGCTTAAAAAAAGCCAGCACTGTCTTATCGTGTATTATGTAGTAGGTGAGCCAAATGCACAGTCCATCCTAAAGCGTGATATCTGATATCATGAAGAGGATCCGCATCTTGGCAGCTGCAGTTTGGGGCTTTTTTCCCAGTGTTCTCTACTGACCGCCCAAGCAGCAAGGTGGTGGTAGTGGCAGGGGTGTCTCTCAGCAGGGTCCATGCAGTGCCATCCACCTACACAGAAGGAAGCATGTAACTATTGAGGCAGAAGTCATTGTTCACCAATTTGAGGAGGAAAAAAAAGCTCGCTGGCTGGAAGCAAGTGGCTCTTTGGGCCTTGTAGTTCTGTGATGCACTTAATCTATATTTACCTTTTATATCCTGTTTCTCTGTAATCTGAAGGATAGCCATCAGTGAAGATTCCGTGTGCACAAAGATGTTGTTAAGCAGTTCTGTAAATCACAATGTGAAAACTAATAAAATCAAATCTTTTTACAGATGCAAATACTGGCATTATGATGATAACCTGCTCACCTCCAGCGTTGTCATTGTCTTCCATAATGAAGGATGGTCCACACTCATGAGGACAGTCCACAGTGTTATTAAGAGAACACCAAGGAAATACTTGGCAGAAATTGTGCTGATTGATGATTTTAGCAACAAAGGTATATTTGGAATATTAACACAGTACTTGTAGAAGAGGAAACCTTTTTCCTTTAAATAGGGTTTTTTTTTTTTGATTTATTACCTGCCATGGATTGAATTGACTCTGCAAGAACAGTAAGTTGCTTCTTCACAGTCCTTTCAGTTTTCAGTGAATGGAAAGCTCTTTTCCAATGAACTGCTTTCATAAAGGTGGCAATCCTTTATGTGCATTCAACTGTTTGAAATATAGGATTTGTGGTGGGCTCTCTACTACAGTTGTGAAGTTAGTATATAGCAGAATGCTGGGATAGCTAGTACCTCTCTTAGCTCTTGTGAAAACAAGTAGTTTTAAGAGTATTGAAAGAGTTTGAGTTAATAGCCTGTTAGGAATAATTTCTTTTTTTATTCCATGTAGGAATCCACATTACCTTTTTTTTTTTTTTTTTTTTTTCTGTAATAGAAATGTATCTAAGGCTGTTGAATTATTCTGATTAATTTTCAATATCTCTTCAATTTCCAACATCGTTTTTTTATCAAACATCGTGTTAAGGTGTTTATTGCTTTTTATTGAGGGGAGGAGCTTTCAAGAATTTTAAGTGTGTTTTAATTCCAGCCTTTCTTTGAGTCCTGTGTATCAACCTTTTCAGATGTCCAGAGATTTTCCTCTTCTGTTGTAATATATGTTCTGGTCTTTGTTTATAGTCAGGATATATGTACTTATGTATGATTCTTATAAATATAAACATACACTGACTTTTTTCCTTTAATGGTGATATCTTCAGCGTTAATGCAAATCAAGGCTGAATACAAAGAAGAACTGAAAGTGGTATGCTAGAGATATAAAATGATTGATATAGAGGAAATCTGTCTGGTTTTAAACGTTAAACAAATTTCAAAATAGCAAACTAAAGCTGCATGTTCTGCAAGATTTTATTGCAGCATGGTTCTTGAATAGAAGTTGACAGAGAAAAAGAGTAGGTGCATAAATAAAAACATAACTTAGAGTGTGCGGGATGGCAGTCTCTTCTATCAATGATGATGGAGGAGCACAGGCAAGTTTGAACTGGTCAGCAGCATAGGATATGTTCCCTTTACCCTCCTCTTTGTTTTTATAACAGCTGAATTGGCTAGTGGCATGGAAAGCAGATGAGACTGTTCTGAAACTCTCCATTTTATCAAGCGATCTGGGCTTCTCCCAGTTCCAGCCTCACGGGAAGAGTTGTTTTCTGTGTGTATACCCACTATAAATTTTAAAAATGAACTCATCGCACAGTTAGGGTTGCCTTTTTTGAGTATAGATTGCTATTAAAAGTAGTTACTGTATGTTAATTTTTATATTATACTGGTAGGTAGGTAGGTATCACTTTTTGTGTGCTTTCAACAGGAGAGGAAAAGTTACCTGTACTGTAAGCTTGACTACATCTGGCTTAGTCTAATAAAGATACTGAACGCTACATTTTGGTCTCCTGTATCCTTTTACAGCTTTTGAGCATTTGGCTTAGATATACAGACATGCTATAAAACAAAAATGTCTTCTCTCCTAAGGGATATAATTTTAATAATTCAGTCAGCAGACATGTGCTGTGTTTTTTCCTTTTCATCTGGGATGACAGCTTTCCTTCAGAGCTATTCAAGGACCGAGTTAGCTGTGTAAAACAACTATGACACTGATGGTCTCTAGAAAAATTACCAGATTTTTTTACTAATGATTTGACTCAGTACTTGGGTTTCACAGGAGTTGTAGCTGGGTCTGTGCTATGTATATGTAATTCATGGAATGAGTTTGTCTGGCGTAACAGCTCATACTACAGTTTTCCATTATGTGGGTTGTTAAATAAAGGCAGTATTTTTCAAGAAATATGTTTTGAAATACAGAACTTTGCTTATGCTTCTGCTTATATATGAATGGTTAGCAGATACAGCTAGCCTGGACCTAAAATCCAGCAGACCTTTGTCTCTATATTTCCCACACTTCATTTTCACAAATAGCTTTCTCGAATCAGAAAATTCGGTAAAGACAAGCTTCAGATACAATTTTCTCGTGTATGAGTGACTGGAAAACAAGCACAGACTGGAATGGCTCTGAACACCTTGCTGCAACTGCCCTGTTTCACTACAATAATTCTTTAGACTGCTTTAGGCTATTACTTGGTAAACATAATTAACTTAATTTTCAATAGTTCAGATTACATTCTAGATGAAAAATGGCTGAGAGAGTAGAATCTTGCTCCACTTCTTTCTCCCCAGAGAGAAGCATGAACTAGTACAGGCTGCAAAGCATGCCAAGCCACCTGAAGAGATCTCCAGTTGTTAGGAGAGCTGCAGAACACAAACACTCTTAATCACAGCAGAGCTGCTGGTGGCTTTTTGCTTTTTCAGCCAGAAGAAAGACAGTGCTGACAGCACAAATAGAGGATTTTCCCCATCCCCACCTGCTTTCAGACTGCACGCTTCATATCTGCCTTTCCACCCAGCAAAGAGCATCTTACACTCTTTGAGACCAATGTCGAGGGGGACATGCTGGACTGGGTAAATGTTTGCTCACGCTCAATGTGGCTGTCCTTATTTCTTAGCCACCGCCTTCTCCAGTGATATGAAATTAAAATGGAGCATAGCAGTTGCAAACACTACTAAAGGCTGGCTTATAAAGAGCCCTGCCTGTCCTTCTTTGAGAGAAATCCTCTTTCATCAGAAGGGAGTTACAGCTGCATAGAAGCTTATGTATGTTATGCCTTACAGGGAGGAACAGTTGCAATGCTTGGAAAATGTTCTTTTCATTATAATTCTTTATATAAATTCAGCTGGGAACAGTCTTTTTGCTGCATGGTGCTCTCCCTTCCTTCCTTAATCTCTTCTGCAAACAGCGGGGTTTGACAGTGGAGAACTGCACAGAGAGATGTGTTGAATTCTGCTTAGGTGTTTTTTCCTTTGTCAAAGCACCAAAGGAAACAGTAACAAGAAGATGACACCAAGCTAATTGAATAATGCTAGTTCTGATACTTTCAATGAAGACATTGGTACTAATGTATGTCAGAGTCCAAGAAGTGGTGTAGCAGTTTCTATCGTGTCAGTGTGGCCATGCTGCTGCATGTGGGTGTTTTTTTTTCCCCAGCTTTTCTTGTGTTTCTTGATAGAAAAAGTTTATTTTGCTGTGAGTGCTAGCTGTGTGGAGCATGCAGCTGTTCTGGAAGGGCAGTAAGAATTCATAACACCAGATTTGCTGAAGCTCTGTACAATTATGGTTGTGTATATAGGTCTTCAACAATTACTTGTTATGTATTTAGGTACCAGCTTGCTTTCTTTCTGAAGCATAGACGTCAATATCTCAGCTGGTGCAGCTTGATTTTTGTAGCCTGCGCACCTCTAAAGAGTGACTGTGAGGTAAATACCAGTGTTCCTAGTAGTGTTTAAAGGCTTTGTCTACCTTTTGCGTTCACTCATTTTTTCTTTATCTGTCTCTTATTTCCCACTGATGCAGCATCCCATAAGATAACCAAAGGGAAGTAACGAGCATAGACGGGTAGCAGTATTTTTGTTAACTTGTTTAACAGTGCTTGCAGTAGGGAAACTGAAGCATTAATCAGTGCTTGTGTTGGAGCTGATTGCTCCACATTAGTAGTATTACAGTACGGGGGACTTGGAGGCAGCTGCTTTAGGGAGGACTCCTGATACCATTTTTCTAGTTCTCAAACTGATGTCCATGAGTCAAGAGGGAAAAAACCTACTTTCCTCCTCTTCCCGTCCTTGTAATCTTCAATGTCCAAGATCTTTTAGAGAAAGGATGTGTTTTTAAAAAACACTGATTCACGCTTTAATTGTGCACTGAGACATGCAAGCAGAACCCAAACAAGGGAAGACCACATTGGTGGCTATAATATTTTGAAAGCTAAAATATACATTTTTAAACAAAAAGCAGAATGCTCTAAGACTGTTAACAGATATCATAAATACATGTTCTACGTGAACAAAATTTAACACTGGCCAAACAGTATTTCTAACTATAAAAGTATCAGGATTTTATATGCTACTGTCATGCAGGCTTTGTAGTATGGGAAAGAGGGAAAATTCAGTTTTCCTGTGGGAAATAGCACTTACTGCTAACCCTGGCACTATTTCAGATAATGGACTGCAAAGTCCTGAGACTTGTGCTGTAGAAAAGCTTTACACAATCAATATGACAGGTTTTTACAGCTCCCCATGAGCCTTACATAGTTGCACATTTGATAACTAAAACATTTGGCTTCATAGGCAGTAGAGCTGGAAATAACTTCAGGTTTTAAATCTTTAAAACATTCCTGACAGTCCTTCTGTAACGTGTACTTGGAATTTGAGGAATAAATAATGGTGTGGTATAAAGATTGTCTTAGTACCACTTCAGTATGACCTCATAACTGCTGACTTTATCCTATAAAAATTTATATCACAGCTATCATATCATATATTCTATATATGTGTTACATGGCATGTTATTCTATACAGTATATGTGATAAAATTGTTCTTTCTCTAGTTTGGTATTTATGTATCCTTGAAGTTTTCCTGATGCACAGGGATTTACAAAAGAAATTGTACATGTGTGAGGGAAAGGAGAAGAGGATACATAACACTTCTGTTTACGAAATCTTACTCTTGTATGAAGGTGAAGAGGAGGGATAATAAGAGTATTAAAAGACAGTTATTTAAGTTCCAGAAAACACCATTTCCATTTCAGTTATTTATATGTAGCTTTTGTTTAAACTGTAATTTTTTCAGTGCTACTGGCAGGGGTATAAAACATACTGAAACGTAAGTTGCAGCAAGCTCCAGACTTCAATCATCTTCATTCAGGGTGCAGAAAATATTGCTGCTAATGCAATTTGATGGCTTGTTGCTGCTGAAAGGGACATCCTTCTCCTGCCCCCTCCGCACGTCCCCTCTCCTGTTAGATCAGTGCAGGCATGGCATCTAGCAGCCCCTCGGAGCTGGTGGAAACCGGTCCATGAATGCCTCGGCTGTAGCTTAGGTGGCTTATTTTGATTCCCAAGAGAGAAACTGCAGCTGTAGGCAATTCTTTTGAGCCTTTCAGTATAAAAATAGATTTTAAACGAACACCACTAGTTAAATCCCTGTAGCCTCAAACAGCAAGTGCCTGACTGCCCACCCTTCTGCCTTTGTGAGTTTTCTCAACAAAATCATCTGTGCAAAAAATACTATGCAACATTGGATCCTTTTTTCAAATTGTGTGGTAGGCATGTGGTTTCCAGATTAGTTTGGCAAAGACCAATGTGCAAATAGTGTATAACCATTTAAGCATAGCCCAGCTTGATTCTTACACGGTTACTCATCCCTTTACTGACCAAGTCCCTTTGGCTAAATGTTTCCTGTTTCATGAGTATGATGAGCCACGGCTCATTCATTCAGTTCTGGCCCCCCAGTTATTCTTACTGTTACTTTCATTAGAAGATTAGGCTAAGACCACCCCAAGCTGAAGAGGGGGCAGTAATTTGAGTATGATGGGTTTCTGTCTCAAGTTTCCAGATTTATTAGACTGATAGAAAATTTTGTAAGCCAGAAGGTGAGTGAAGAGAAATGTTTAACTGAAAAGCGGTGCCTTCAATTGCACATGTAACACTACCTGATGAGGAAAGACCATATGCTGAAATGTACAAGCTTCTCTGCCTGGTTGAAATTCAGGCAAAGACCTGAAAGCCACTATGTGATACATTGAAGTGACTGGGAATTGCCCACCCAGCTCCCCTGTGGTGTGGCCAACCACCTCAGCTGCTTTTTCTTCAGATGTTCTAGAGAAACCTGTGTCATGCAGTCAGAGAGCTCCAAGTTTTGACCTCTTCGCGTTTAGTGTTTGTGACCAGTAGTACAAGCAGTTCAATTAAAGATTCTTGTAAATGTCTGTAGATATTTTTAAGTAGAGTTGGATTTGGGTTGTATTAAGAGTACAAAACTGTTTATTACTAACCCTCACCAAAATAATTTTTTCTTTGTTATTTGATAGCACACCTAAAAGAGAGGCTGGATGAGTATATTAAGCAGTGGAATGGCCTGGTGAAGGTATTTCGAAATGAGAGGAGAGAAGGTTTAATCCAGGCTAGGAGCATTGGAGCCCAGAAGGCCAAGCTTGGACAGGTGGGAACCAGTTCACACACAAGTCTGTCTTTTTATGTTTTGGGGGGAGAGGTGGTGTTTCTGTGTTCACATGGATGTATAGGAACGTAGCATTGTGTTACTGATACTGTTTTAAAGAGAGATTAATGTTACTAATTTAAGCTTCGTTTGTTTTGTTTATAATACGAAAGTATTTCAGTGTAAATAAGCTTAATTAAATCGTCATGATCTCATATACAGAAATATAAATGGCTTTACTTTTTTTTTTTTTTCTTTTGAAGGTTTTGGTTTACCTTGATGCTCATTGTGAGGTGGGAATTAACTGGTATGCGCCACTTATAGCTCCTATATCTAAAGACAGGTAATGTTTTTCTGTTAATTCCAGCGTCTGGCCTCTTAGGAAGAAAAAGTCACAGTAATAATCTTCACTTTTCAAACTATAGTTAATATGTTTTATGTCTATATCTATATATATCTGTATCGAACTATATATATAACTATCTCCCAGCATAAAAGCTATGTAAGGAGGAAGGAAAAGAGTCAGGCAAATAAATCTCCAGATAGTTTGTTTTAATAGGCATACTGAATATTTTTGCTTAGTATAGATTAAATATAAGACAAGTTTTGTCTTTTGCAATTATCTGAGGCAGTGTTATAAAAGTGTTTAGTTCTGGCTGAATAAGGAGCCTGATTAAAAAATAACTAAGCAAAAACATGAGCTTTGGTCGACAAAAAGTAGCGGTAAGTGTTTTGGTTTAATGAGGATTTAAAGCCCCTGTGATCTCAAGAGTTCTGTAACTTTCTCATCTTTGGTCTTGCAACATGGTCTTATTTGTTTCCTCTGAAATGCTTTGGAGCATTGTCTCTAGCAAACCAAGGCCAGGGCTTGAGCCTGGCTCTGCCACAAGCCCCCAGGTGCTTGCTAGGAGTCAGTGGTGGAAAGGCCTGAGCTGTGTGCATGGAATCTGGAAGAGGTGACAGAAGAGGGAAATCCCCAGAGTCTTCATTTCTTCCAGCTGTTGAAATGCTGCTGTTGCTGTGTGCTACTGCACTCTCATCTTGTGTGGTCAGGGAGTATGTGTGTTTAGGAAGCCATGTGCTTGTTTAAACTCTTTAATCCCGTAAAATAGCTGCTTAATCCTAAAAACTATTTGCCAACCTGTCGTACTACCAGAACTTTCTTGAAGAGGTGGGTGTTGTGTGTTTTAAAGGCTGTAACTCAGCTTCAAGGCTGTATTTGGGCCAGGATACCAGAGAGAAGATGGAAATGCTTGTGTGCTTCCATCGAGTGCGTGTTGCTCTTTTACATGAGAAAGGCTGGTGAGAACAGGCAGCTTTAGAAACATCCTTCAGCACTGCCCACAGAAGTGGAGGTTACGGGAGGACCAGCGATGCCAAAGCGTGCAGTGCTGGCAGGCAGCCCTCAGCAGCGTTCTTCCAAGCCCTGGTACCCTGGGTGCAGCCTTCTGCCACTTCTGCCTCAAAGAAGAGTACAACGTTAGCATTTCTTCTCTCCCCCCCCCCACCCCCCCCCATTTATTTTCTGTCTCATAGGATTTGACTTTAAAAGATGGAAATGCTCCAAGTTTGGTCACCGGAAAACTCATTCAGAAAATGAGGGGGGAATAAGAAAATAATGTCATTTCCTTGGTGAATATTGTATGTGATAGATCACAGTGAGAAGCATATTACAGGGGAAATTTTACTGAAAACTGCTGCTAGGAGAGCACCGGTAACTTTTTTTTTATCCTGAGAGGTTGGATTTACAAGGCAGTTAGAAAGGACAGAATAGTGAAAATCTATGTTTACACTAGTAAAAGCTAAGAGCTTGTAATACTTACTGACAGTTAAGATCTGATATGAATAGAAATTTCAGGAAATAATAATACTGTGAGAACCTTAGCCCTCTAAGGGCTCCTCTGTTGCCTCCAGCAGTACTTTATTAGAAGACCGTCAAGAAGTACACATGAAGGAAAAAATACTGATAAATAAATTGATATATTAGCATTTCAGACCTAACTTTTCTGCTTTCAGAACCTCTTAAAACAACATAAAGAAAGTACTTATCTCTTTTTTTCTTCTAATGAGGCTTCATTTTTTAATGTTTACAAGTGACTTTTCATATAAACTGCTGCTATAAGCTTAATATTTAATGGTGTAAATTTCAGGTGACAGATTACTCTTCTGAAATTGTATTTTGCTCTTTCTTTCCCTTCTATAAATGTTTCAGAACTACATGTACTGTACCTCTAATAGATTACATAGATGGGAATGATTATTCCATTGAGCCACAACAAGGTGGGGATGAAGATGGTTTTGCCAGAGGGGCCTGGGACTGGAGTTTGCTATGGAAACGAATTCCGTTAAGCCACAAGGAAAAATCGAAACGAAAACATAAAACCGAGCCTTATCGGTAAAGAGAGCTGTTTACATACTGTGAATCGTAATGAATAATTGTCTAAACCCTTTCGTTTTTCCCTCCCCCCCTCTTCTCCCATGAACTACGGTCGGTGCACGTGTGCCACGCGGGTCCTTGCACATAACCGCATCTTCCCTGCCACCACTCGCCACCCTGCAGAACCACATGCACTGTGCCGCTTATAGATGTCATAGATGGCAACACTTATAAGATTGTGCCGCAAGGGGGTGGTGACGAAGATGGGTTTGCTAGAGGAGCGTGGGATTGGAGTATGCTATGGAAGAGGGTTCCCTTGACCAAGCGAGAGAAGGAAAGCAGAAAGACAAAAACTGAACCGTATCGGTAATCACTAAATCACTTACCCGTTTCTTTTTTTTTCCCCAAAGTCGATATTGATCCACTAAAACTTGCATGTACTTCTGGCCTGAAAATCTTCATATTTCTAACCACACCAGCTGCTTTGTTTAATCAGACCTGTTTGCCACAACTGACTATTTGCTCAAAATACCTTTGCTACCTTGTGCTGCCTCTCCATTCCTGTTCTTATGTGGTTAATAGGGTGCACATTAGAATGACAGGGTTTTGTTTGGCAAAATAAAGTATTGTATGACTTTGTTTCCAGGGAAAACTTTATTTAGCCAAGATACTTTTTTTAAAGTAGTGTTGGAAACAACAGTGCTTCTTTAACCATTTGATTTGAAATAACCAGCATGCCGTGAGTATTTATAATAGCTAGTAATGCATAAAATCTGTAGCCTGCTGTTGTGGCTTGATGCATGCATACAGCTTGTGGATTATGCACGTGCATCAAAAAAATCCCTTTGTCATATTTCTCCCACTTGCTTCGTAATAGATCACATCTGACAAAGCAGCATACTGTTTTAAGAATCTTGGCTAGATATGTTTCTAAGGTCTGAGTGTATTTAGGGATTTTAATTTAATACACATAACATTTTAAAAAAAAAAGAAAAAAATCACCATTTATTTTCTGCGATAACTCAGATAACTTTCGCAGAAGTCCCACCTTTTTCTTACGCTCTGTAAGGGGGTGTGTTTTCTTCCCAGCAAACAGAAACTGGCTGGAAACCCTAGCTTAGAAACTAGGGTTTCTGGATGACTTTTCAAGACCGGGAGACTGTGGTTCTGCTGGATTTTGTTACTTTCCCCTTCACACTTAACTAATCGTGTTACTACATTTGAAAGCAATCCTCATATCTTCAGAATCTAATGTCTTCTATTGCTTGTATCTATGATTTAAACATTGTGAGAACTGATGTTGGTAATTCTCTGTCCTCACCTGTGATTGTTCTCTGCTAAAATGGCAACACATGCAAGGACGTTATGAAGCTTTGATCTGTTTTGTATGCAGTATAAATAATACCATTTTCTGACAAGGCTGTCCACATTGTAACTTTAATACTCACATAGAGGGGGATAAACTATTTCAAACATTGCTGTCGTGTTCTGTGTTTACCATCCAAACAGGTCTTAAAATCCTTTAAACTGTTCCCAGAAACACAGAACACATGTTCTTAGAATGGTTTAAAAGATGACTTTATTTTTAATAATACTTTCAGAGTTACAGTGCTTCTTTTAAAAAGAGACATTGCCTACATCTGTTTATGTCCAGGCTGTATGCATTTTGTTCCAGCAATACCAAGGCAAGTAAGGCCAAGTAGAAGTCTTGCTGAAGCCATAGCCAGGATGCTTGATTTAAAAAGAAGACAAACAAACAAAACAACAACAACAACAAAAAAAACACAAAACCAAAAACACCTCAACAGCTTAAAGTGCAGAAACAAACTTTTTGTAATACGAGAATTGCCCCAGGACTGAATCCTTTTCAGTAATATTTGCTTACCTCCTTATCACCTATAAAGTAAACTACTGAGCTTATGCAGATTCTACTGTGTTCTTTAACACGCTTGACAGCGTGTTGGAGGCCAAGACTGAAACTTCAGCGTCTGAGGCCTCTACACTTGCCAAGTCTTTATGGTGCTGAGGAAGACAAAAAATGCAGGAGAGCCACAGGGGTGTGCTATGCAACGTGCTTCTCCTTGCTGTGCTTGCTGGCTCCCTACCCTTTGAACCACTGTGATGCAAAAGCAATGCTGGAGGAAAATACAGTAGGCAGACAAGTAGAAGGGGACATTTGGGCATAACTCAGCTTATGATCAGGTGATTTGGAGAGCAACTAAACTGATAACCGTTATACTTAACTCAGCTGATAGACTCAGCAGCTCTGTTGTTGTTGCCCTGCCCTTGCTATGCAGAGGGAGTGTATGTTAACCCTGTAGGTTACTGCTTCTTAAACAGTTCTCCTCCAGACATTTGTGTGCAGAAGGGAAATACGTAATCATTGCTGTTAAAAGGAGCACCACTAAGTTAAAAATCTAGTGGAATGAAGAGACTCAATAGTGCTGGAAGTGACCCATCTCTCAATAATTTGGTCATGAAGGAGTATTTCACTTGTGTTTTACTTGGCTCACCAGAGTTATCTGGACTTTTGTATCCTTCTCCTTTCAATGCTGCAGATATCTGAAGTCAGAAAGAATTCACTTTTTCCTTACCAGCTTTTTTTTAAAATTGCTAACTTAGTAGGGACTCCAGCTTGTCTCTATTAGGGGTTTTAAATATTTATTGATCTCAGGTGAAAAATGTTTGGTATGTGTGCTGGAAATGGCTTAACATATCTTACTCTCTATTTCAGTGTGAGCAAGCTACCAAAGAATTTTGGTTAGAACCATTCTCAAAAAATGCTCTAATCCAAACCACAGTGTCTTTTTGACACATGAAAACTTGCAAATTGAACCTTGGCATACATGGAGGGATTTACAAAGCCACTTAAAAACAAAATTAAACCAAAATGGAAACTTTGTACAAGTTGATCCAGGCCCTCTTAAAAATTTCACTGAGTATAATGAAAAGTGTCTCTCATAGGAGTAGTAGAAAAAGAGCACGGGGTAGAAGACAGAAGATATTATTTAGCTGGAAAAACTCTTATTGCTTGTTTAATAAACAATAAGTTTCAATGTGGCAGCTCCTCGGAACGTAAACCTAACTCTGCTATGTGCAGTCTCATCATGTTATCTCAAAAACATGAACATCTTTCAAGAGAGAAATGTCTTGTCACACTGATTCTTACCTTTTTTATTTTAATAGTAGCATGCTGGCTGGCCAAATGGGTAATTCTGACCAAAATTTTGTATCATTAAATTAAAAAAAAAAACCAAACAAACCAAAACACCACAGCATAATAAAAACTGTGACTTCACTAGAAATTATACAGCTGTCACTTCAGAAAAGTGCTGGAAGCTGATGACAAAGCTTTATGATTTTTCAGTGTATTGCCATTTTTCTGATCTTTATTATATGTTAACAGTGAATTGCTTCCTCTGAGTGTTGTCATATCCTTTTGGCAGAAGGAGTTACACTGTCTTCCTCTTTCAGGTCTCCTGCAATGGCTGGTGGATTGTTTGCCATTGAACGTGATTTCTTCTTTGAACTGGGTCTCTATGATCCAGGGCTTCAAATTTGGGGTGGTGAAAATTTTGAAATTTCTTACAAGGTAACACCAAAAATTGAAAACTAACTCAGTTTAGTAGATCTTTTTTTCTGTAAATACTTCTTTTTGGAGTTCAGACCGACCTACCTCTGATTTACACCACCTCTGCCTCATGAAGTCCGGAAGGTTTTGTTGTGAGGGGATGCTCTGGCAGAGATGCGTGTCCTTGGTCTTTCCTTGTGGGCTTTGGGGCAGACATATTCAGAGAGGTGGACTAGTGCTGAGACCCGAATGCTGAGCAGTCTAGATTTTGTTAATGACTTGGGTTCACACACCCCCCTAAATATCTAATCTGAAACCAGACTGGCAAATTTGATGGAGGGGAACTGAGTGCTCTCATGGTGAGTATAGAAAAATGTTGTATCTAATGAACGGGAATCATAAAGAACAAGTATCACTCAGTTTATGCATAGATGCCTGTGAAATATATTACAGTGCAACAATATGCAATCTGCCTTGGTTTCCTCCTCTCTACCATTTTTATGGGTGAAAAATGATCTCGTAGACTTTTCAAAATTTCAATAACTTCTTCACAAGAGAAGTCTTCCTAATTGAAATGCTAACTGCATGATTCATAATCACTGCAGATTTTATTTTCTCTCTCATAGTCGTATGCACGCTCTTTGCTTAGCAGGAACCATAAGATGATAAACATTATCTTCTTGTGGCTTCAGTATTCATAATGACACAAGTGGCAGACA